AATATATATATGGTTACCAGTGTCTGGTGTTGATGTTGAACGTAGCTTTTCTAGCTATAAAACAATTTTGTCAGATAAAAGGGTGACACTTAAAAAAGAAAGCATTCAAATGTTTAATTTTCTTTATATTAATCTTAATGAAAATTAATGAATAAAATAATTTTTTGGATAGTTAATTGTTATATTTTATTTTTTACATTTATTTTGCTATAATAAATTTGATCAATTTACTAAAAATTATAAAATTTTAACTAGAATTATAGTCATGATTTTTTCGTGATAAAAATCATAATATCATGTGCGATTTTTAGACTGTCACGCTAACCTATCCTAGACACTTTACCTGAAAGTTAAACGTGGCATTTATTATTAAAAAAATTAAATTTTAATAATAAAATGCTGCCCCGAAATTCAGACGCGGCATTTATTAATAAAAAAATTAATTTTATTAATTTTTTATATAAAAATGTTGCCCTGAAAGTCAGACGCGGTATTTATTAATAAAAAAATCAATTTTTATTAATTTTTTATATAAAAATACCGCCCAAAAGTTAGACGCAGCATTTATTATTAAATAAATTAATGTTTAATAATAAAATTCCACTCTGAAAGTCGGACGTGACATTATTAATAAAAAATTAATTTTTATTAATTTTTTATATTAAAATGCCATCCTGAAAGTCAGACACAGCATTTATTATTAAAAAAATTAAAATTTAATTTTAATAATAAAATGCCACCCAAAAGTCAGACGTGATATTTATTAATAAAATAATTATTTTTATTAATTTTTATATATAAAAATGCCACTCCGAAAGTTTAACACAGTATTTATTAATAAAAAAATCGATTTTTTATTAATTTTTTATATAAAATACCGCCCTGAAAGTCAGACACAGCATTTATTAATAAAAAATCAATTTTAATTAATTTTTTATATTAAAATGCCATCCTGAAAGTCAGACGCAGCATTTATTATTAAAAAAATTAAATTTTAATTTTAATAATAAAATGCCACCCAAAAGTCAAATGTGGTATTTATTAATAAAATAACTATTTTTATTAATTTTTATATATAAAAATGCCATCCTGAAAGTCGAACACAGTATTTATTAATAAAAAAATCAATTTTTATTAATTTTTTATATAAAAATGCCACCCCGAAAGTTTAACACGGCATTTATTAATAAAAAAATCGATTTTTTATTAATTTTTTATATAAAATACCGCCCTGAAAGTCAGACACGGCATTTATTAATAAAAAATTAATTTTAATTAATTTTTATATTAAAATGCCACCCCAAAAGTTAGACGCGACATTTATTATTAAAAAAATTAAATTTTAATAATAAAATGCTGCCCCGAAAGTCAGACGTGGATTTTTGTTAAAAAAAAAGTTTTTTTTAACATTAAAACACCATTCCGAACGTCGGAGGCAGATTTTTGTTAAAAAAATTGTTTGATCCATCAGATACGAATACGGATTCAGATTCAGATTTGTCAGATTCGTATTAAATTAGATTCAGATTTTTCAGATTTGGATCAAATCGGATTTTGCCTAAATCTGATCTGTATGGAATACTACTAGTTTTTATTCTTTAGATTTATTAATATAATCAGAAAAAGAAATTATTTCTGATAAAATATTGTTGAGATCTTTTAAGTATTATTTTATTAAAATATTTCTGTATTATAAATTGTAATATCATATTTATCGTATTTTTAGATTTTGATATAATTATTACAGAGAAAGTGATTTATATAGTTTTATTATTTTTGATCTCTTTTTACCTTTACTTTAAAAACTAATACAATGTTATCTTTAAGTTTTTGAGTAGTATTCCATTTTTTTTCAAAGAAAAAAGATAACTAAAATAATAAAAAGTATTTTTTGTAAAATAACATATTTATATGCTAAATAATAAATAATTACATTTGATCAAAGTGAATTTTAAGTAGTTTGATCAAGATATAATTTTAATTTTGCATTATTAATATGTATTAATTCTTTATTATCTATAATTCTCAATTTATAAATATTATAATTTAAAACATTATGTATAATATAATATCCTTTCTATTCTTCTTCCAATTTCTTTTTTCTCTTAAATTACTCTTGTATAATAAAAATATATTACAGTATATATTTTATACTTCTTTTAAGTTTTATTATTTTATTATTTTTGTTTTTGTTGTGATTTTTCAATATTTTTTGTGTTATAAACTTAATATCTTCAAATTTTCCAATTATAAATTTCATTTGGTTTAATATATTATTTTGAAATTTGAAGTTTATTGGTTATATTTGAAATGTTAAGTTTAAGAATTCAATTGGAATTATAGTATCACAACCATATATTAAATAAAAAAGTTCATATTTTATTATTTTATGTCTTTTTGTTTTATATGCAAAAAGAGTTAAAGATATGTAATCATCCTAGTTATCCTTGTTTTTATTAGTAAATTTAGCTTATATATCACATAATTTCTGGTTAAATCACTCAACTAACCTATTCGTATATGAAAGATAAGCAGATAATAGCTTATACTTTATTTCTAGTTTTTTATATAAATAATTAAGCATTTTATTTATAAAGTGTGTTCTTTTGTCAGTTAGAAGAGTTTTTAAACAGCTATTTTAGCATATAATATTTTTGAAGAAAAATAAAACTACTGAAGCAGCTTTGGTATTATAAAAGTTTTGGGCTTTAAACTACTTGATTAAGTATTCTGTAACAACTACAATAATGTATTTACATTCTTAATCTTGGATAAAGGTCTAACTATATCATTTCAATTCTATCAAAAGGTAAGACTATTTTATAGGATGTATAGGTTTTGTTTGTTTGTTTTTATTTCTTTACTAGCATTCATTGTAGATTTATACATATTTACTAATGTCTTCATACATCTGCAATAAGTAATATTTAATCTTTATTCTTCTATAAGTTTCTTCTAAAGCAAAATTCAGCTAAAGGATCTAAATGTAAATTAAATGCATATTGTTAATTTTGTTTTGTCTTATGATTTTGAAGGATCTATTAGAATTATTCTATTCTTTTTGTATAATTTTTCAACTATAATAATAAAATACCTTGCTTTTTTTTATGCTTGCTTGTTGTTTTTTTGTAAGATTTGTTAGCATTGATAAGTCCGATAGATATTGTGTAAAGGAGAGTAATACGCCATAAATGCTATTTCCATTCCTGTATTTGAAGTTTTGTTCTTTTTGTTGTTAGTGGATTATTCAGCTTAATGTATCTATGTTTGAATATTGTTTTCCTGATTGGTTGGTGATCAAAATAAAAAGAGTTAAGAGTTATAATCCATCTGCCAACGGGTTTCATATTATTCTTTAAGTATACTAAGGCAGAGTGATCCGTTACAACAATAAATTTTTGACCATGCAAGTAATGGTGAAAATACTTAATGGCGTAAAAACTTTCCAATTCAATAATAGTATAGTTTCTCTTATGTTTGTTAAGAGTTCTACTAGTATATGTGATAACATGTTCCTTGTCATTGGTTCCTGTTAGTGTTAAAATCATGCTCAAAACGAAAGTGGAAGCATTGGTATATAACACAAAAAGTTTCTCAAAGTTTGGATAGGCTAGGATTGGTGGGATTATTAGATATGATTTGAGTTTTTCAAAGGCCTCTTTTTGATATTTCGTCCATTTGTAGTAGGATGGTGTCAATTTAACGTTTGAATGTGGCAGACGCGTTTCATAGTCCAAATGGCATTATACTGAACTTCTAAGTATCGAATTTGGTTATGAAGGTTGTTTTCTCCATGTTTTTAGGATCCAATTAAATTTGCCAAAATCTACTAGCAAGATCAAGAGAAGTGAACCAATATGATATTGATAAGGTTTCTAACATGTCATCAATCCACGGTAATCTACGCAAAGCCGTTTTTCCCATTTTTCTTTTCCACCACTACAACCGGGGAGGGCCATTGGCTATTAGAAGGTTTAATTAATACATTCTTTAATAATCGTTGAATATGTCGACGACCTTTATGAAGATTCCCTATATTTATTTAGTACCGCTCATGAAAATTGTCCTCGAGTGAATATTTGTCACTTGTTTCTAGTAAGAATATCAAATTTTGGCTTATTACGAAGGTAATACTCGAGTCCAATAATTAATACTATTCAATATTCAGATACTTATTTGAACAAAAAGAGCATTGAGTTTGTCGATGTAAAAACGCTAGAAAGTTGAAAGACTTTTAGAACAGTATTGATCAAAGAAATCATAGGTAAGTAGTGTTTTGTCCTTTTCAAATTCAAATTCCGGACTGTCCAAAATGAATAACATTAGGATCTGCTATTATTGTCTCAAAAATTTAGTTCTATCGCAACATAACTTCTACGAATGTAGAAACAAATTTTTTAATTTTGTCGATTATACTGAAAGCAGATCGTGAATTTGATAAGTATCAGGAACGTATGTGAAGTAGGTAATTTAAGTTCTATCTTCGGTTCATCCATTGGTTGGCATCGACATTAACTTCATTTAAATCAGCAAAAGCACCAAGAGCTTTCTTAAAATGCGTCCGCATAAATAATATTTGCACTCTTTTCTGAAGACATAATTGCCGTGACAAATGCTAGGCTCATCGATAAAAACATTTTGATTGATTCACAAGACTTTTGAAATGTCTTCCATCTCCGATTCGAGCACTTGCCATTTGTTCAGTCTTCTACGACAATCAAAATCTCCATTAAACCTTCCTGTAACCATCTTTGCAAATCTTTTGTAACAACTTCTCCACATCGCCAAGCACAAAGCATTTGTCCAAGGAACATTAAATTATTTGGCATGATCGATAGTTCTTTTCGTTGGGATCTTTATGTAGTTTTCAAAGTGATTCTTGTTATCCTCGCGAAGCATCTTGGATTGTTTATAAATCACGTCATAAGTTTCCAAAACCCACTTGGCTTGACGTCTCTTAACCTCTGTTGAAGTGTCAGCAAGAGCTCTGAACAATACCAAGAATAGAACTGTGATGATTTGAATATATATGTAACCAAAAATATCAAGAGTTTCCCATAAAAATTTTCGAATGAGAATTTATTTAATAAAGATTTTCAAAATTGTATTGCGTTTACCTTAATTTTTTCTCGAGAAATTTA